CCTCTTCCTTCTGCAAAAAGGGGAGAGAAAAGCTGAATCACTTGGCGGTGCTTTCTTATATTCATATGTTTTTGATTTGGCATTTTCAGCCAATAAAATATTGCTAAGGCATTCTCTCACATAAAATGTGCATTACTAGGACCAACGTTAGAATTAGGCTAAAATACTTTTGATTCAAATCCTTTATTTTCAGGGCTAGTTCATCCCTTCTCTCTTTCCCCCTCTCCACGATGCATGGGTACTATCAACCACACACAGCATCCTGCATTTGTGGGCAGCCCTGTTCCCAGGACAGTTTCTCAGACCTGGAGCCAGAGAGAGAGGAAGATGTGAACAACCCTATCGGGTCACACTGTTTTCTATGCATTAACTAGGAGGCCTTTTGTCTCTGACCCAGTAGTCTCACGTCTTCTGTGATTGGCAGATGCTACTGTACTGTCACTGGACTCAATCAGATCAGATACTGTAAACTATAGTCTTCTGTAAACAGATGTTCCCCTCTAACTCTCTTCCGTAATAAGAAGACTGATGGGCTTGGAAAATTCTCTGTGAAACATTCTTAGCAAACTCATTTGCCCTGTCTTCAACTTGGCAGTCTGCTTCCTTGAAGTTTGCTGCTGTTCTGGGTTCTTTGTAGATCTCCTCTGCTTGGGTCCCTGACTACCTAAATCATCTCCCCCTAGAGCTTGTTTGGATTGTCTTGTCACCGAGTTATGCTGGTTTCTTGAAACGTTCCTAACTAAAGTTTAAGATCAGTGGAAGGGGTTGGTGTCTGTGTTTGATACCTCTCCCAAGTCTGGTAAATCTCTAGCATAGTAATTCTGTAGTAGATACTCAGGTAAGTGTTCATATTGCTTGGAAGTATTTTTTAGGGCCGAAGTTACAGGAAGTGGGACCAGCTTTCATCACAGATGAAAGAACAAAGAGACATGTACACAGCAGAGTTTACGAAGCCATAGTGAAAAATCAAGACATCTGCAGGAAAATGAGTTCAACAGAAATCATTGAATCAAATGAAATTAGCCAGGCCCAGAAAGACAAATGCCACAATTTTCTCTCATCTCTAGAACGCAGATTTAAAATTATCCATATATGCATTTTAGGTCATGAAACTAGAAAGGGGAACATGGGAGCTGAAGAAATTTTGAGGGAAGTGGGAGATAGGAAACTAGAAAACATGGAACAATGACGCAAAGCAAGTGAGTGACTAGAAAAAGGAAGAGAAAGAGCTGTGAGGGAGACGACGTGGAGGAGGGAAATGAATCAGAACAAAGTACAGCGACAAGTATGTGTGAAAGTATCATTACTTAGTATGCTGAGCCAAGCAGTTCATATAGGGGTGGTGGGTGAAGTAAAGAAGATAGTCATATTACAAGCTTTCTATTTTAAGTTGAAAAATCAGCTACAGTTAATTGGTGTGGGTCACAAGTACCGACTTCTGAGTCTTAACCCCATTGTTTAGTTAATCTAGTGATTTTTTTAGTATATGATTTACCATCTGTGTATCTATAAAAAATTTATTAATCTCTAAATAGTTTCTTGTTATTTGTTTTTGAGACAGTGTCTTTCATGTAGCCTTGGCTTGTCTAGAACTTGGTTTGTAGACCAGGCTGTCCTCAGACTCACAGAGACCACTTGCCTCTGCCTCCCAAGTGCTGGCATTAAAGACGTGCACCACCATGCATGACCCTTGTTATCTTTTTATCAAAACATCCTAAAACAGTCTCTTAGTGCTTTTGTGTTTCTATAACAAAATACCTAAGAAGGGTAATACATTTTTTTTTTTTAAAAGAGAGATTCATTTGGTTCACAACTTTGGTGGCTAGAAAGTCCCAAGAGCATGGTACCAACACCTACACACCTTTGGGCTGTGGGAAGCAGTGAAGTGGAAGGGGGAGCAGGCACGTGAAGAAGATCAAGAGGTGACTAGCTCTGAGTTCTAACAATACTCCTTCTTACCTAATCTAACCCTGTGATGCCCACTTTTGTAAGAATGGCATTAATCCATTAGTCCCTTGTAAGAGCGGTGTCCAACCAACATCTCTTGAAGACCTTCCCCCCCTCTCAACACGCATACACTGGAGATTAAAAGCTTCAACATGGGTCTCACTGGGTCTCACTGGGGACGAACCATACGACAGCATAGCAGGCATAACAATCTACAGCAGTGGTTCTTCAAGTGTGGTACCTCGGGCCGCATTTCCTGTTGCTGTCAAGACAGAAGTAAAAGCGGAAGACTTGGTGGGAACTGAAGCAGATGGTCACATGGAGTCTGCAGCCGGGAAGCAGAGTGGTGCATGCCGGCTCTCCGTATGCTTTCTCTTTCCCCCCTTTTTTATTCCATCCCCATTCAGGGTGGGTCATCTCTCCTTAGTTAATCCTCCTGGAAATGCCCTTACGGACTGGTCCAGGAGGTGTTTCTCCTAGGAGATTTTAAATCCTGTAAAGATGACGATGAAGATTAACCAGTGCAAACATCGACTGGGAACTTATTTTTAAAAAAATGTGTGTTATCGAGCCTCACCCCGGAGCCACTGAATCAGAAACTCTGCCCTTTAACAAGCCTGCCAACAAGCCCTCCAGGTGATTCTGATGTATGGTAAAGGTTAAGAGCTGCTGATGTGCAGCATAGGCAAATCCCCAGCCTGGACTCTACATCACAGTCTCGGCACCGAGGACAGTGCAGCAATTTCACAGTTGGCCTTTAAATCCAATGCCTTGCGTTTCAGCTTTAAGGCTCTGTAGAATGGCTCACCATTGCATCATGTTGAAGCTTCCAGATACTACTCACAGAATTGCAGCTCCCAAGCTCCTATAAAGCACTGGCAATTGAGGAGTGAAAAAGTCTTTCTCTGGGTGAACAAAGACTATGTAACAGATAAGGGATTAATTTCCAGTGGCAGTCTCCTAATTCTGTATTCATAACATTGTATGCATGCTAGGCTACCCATGCACCATCTGCTGATATACATTAGGTAATTGGGCACCCAGCAGCCCCATTTGCATGCAAAGGTGGTTGCACACCTCACATTACAAGTCTAAAATTAAAGTCCAGGAAGGAGCAGGCTGAAGGCTCGCAGCTAGGAAAATAATGAGATAAGGAAAAATGGCTTCTGTTAATCAGCACTTTTGGCCTCTACTGTTCTGTCTTGGCTAATTTGCCCTTAGAAATGGTACATCCCAGGTGGAAGAGAGACTTCTAAGAGCATCCAGGGTTTTTGTTTTAAACCTACACTTATAAGATGGTTGCATTTATCCACACCATTTTCTCCCAAACTGCACCCATATGTATGCCCCAGTCTGTTACTGTACTTTAGTTTTGCTTTATGAAGTATTCGTGCTCTGGTGGGACCACATGCATCGGCTCAAGAAGAGCCACCCCAGCACAGACTCACAGCTGGGATCTGTGACACTGTACTTCAGTTAGCCCACACTTCATCACACAGCCGCTGTGAGCTAGGCACTGTGGCGTAGATCTGAAATACATATCAATGAAGCCTACCTTTGCCCTTAAAGGTTCACTTGTTTTATAGAGCTCAGTATTTCTGATATCTCCGTGTGGAATATTTTTACTTACAAAAAAGAATATGGGGAGATGGCTCAGTGCTTACTGTGTAGGCAGGAGAGCCTGACTTTGGATTCCCAGCACCCAGGGGGAAAAGTCCAGCATGGAGGGGTGTGTCTCTGACCCCAGAGATACAAGGGAGGGGTGTGGAAGGAGCAGAGATGGGGCAGGACTCTGGCCAGCCAGTCCAGTCAAAATAGGACTGACACCAGGTTCAGTGAGACATCCCATCTCAAAAAATAAGGTGGCAAGAAACAGAAGACACCAATATCAACCTCAGACCCTCACATGTGCATGCACGGGGAAGTGTACCAGCGCATGCAAGGGCACACACACGCTTGTACCTCACCTGCTAAAGAAAGAACAAAGATAAAACTGAAAAAAAAGGAATTTTTCTTTGTTGTTGGCCTTTTTTACTCTTTTGGGAGGGGGTACCACCCAGCTCCCAAATAAATCACACATGGAGGCTTATTCTTAATTATGAATGCCTGCCCTTAGCTTGGATTGTTTCTAGCCAGCTTTCCTTAAATTAACCCATCTATCTTTTTCCTCTGGGCTTTTTCTGTTCTCTGACTTCTGGAAATCTTATGCTTACCCCATGGCTTGCTGTGTAGCTGGGTGACTGGCCCCTGGAACCCTTCTTCCTCCTTTCTCTCTCATTCCTAGCTCTTCCTCCCAGCTTTCTCCTTCTATATATTCTCTCTGCCCGCCAGCCCTGCCTATCCTTTCTCCTGCCTTGCTATTGGCCACTTCTTTATTAGACCATCAGGTGTTTTAAGACAGGCAACGTAACACAGCTTCATAGAGTTAAACAAATGCAACACAAACAAAAGTAACACACCTTAAAATAATATTCCCCAACATCTCCTTGAGTCCCATGATCACAGTGTCCTTGCTTCTCTGAGCTCCCGATTGTGTTCAACCTCTGTCCCCGGGAGAATGAGGAGCCCAGGAGATCAAGGCTCATAAGAATCAAAACCTAAAAACAGGAAACAGACTAGTGGGCTAGTCACATGGGTCACAAAGAGGATGTGGCTGCATGGCAAAAGACTTGGACTCTTGTTTGTCTGAACAAAGAATGCACCAGATGTCCTAGCGGTCCTTTTTCTCCGAAAGTGGGTCTACACGAGGAGGAAAATCAATCTTAAAGGGGGTGACTCACAAGCGCCACCTAGAGGAGTGATGTCCCACACGAACAGTCTACTATGAACCAGTGATAACGGAATGCAGCAGGAACTAGTCGTCACGCCCACTGCTTTGTGTTTCTTTATTTGACCCTGTCCACCTGTTCTTCAACTAGATTGGAAGGAAGCAGAGAACAGAGCAAGCTCTTAAGAAAGGTTATCTTCCCCCATACCTGTCTGATGGCATGAAAAGGAAAATGGGCAGATGCCTTAGGAATTGGTCATGATAACCACTCTTTTTTTTATTCCAGCACGGGCATGTACACCTTGATAGCACCGAACGCAAGTCGAAGGCAGAAGATGCAGAGAAGTATGCACACGTATTCATCTAAGACTCACAATGCTTCTCATTGGCCTTATAATTGTTTTTTAAGTATTTTTATTTTATGATTTATAGAGATTCATTGGATCTCACCAAGGCCTTAAAAAAAACCCTAGCAGTTTAAATTATACTTGTAAAATTACTCTATTGTTAGCACTTCTAATTTTTTTCTCTACATTAGTAACAGAATTCATGGCATGAGTTGAGTGTAAGTTTTGGATTTTTCTTGGCTTTAAAAGAACCTCACACCTGTTGTTATTGTTTGGATCTGGTCCCGGATGTATCAGGCAACTTGGTGATATTTTAATGGTGCCATGAATACCTTTGAAACAGACAAGCTATATATAAAAAAAGATCATAAGTAATTTGTACCTTTTCTGATATGTTCCATCTTCCCTTAACGACCTTTTTTCTTTAGCCTCTGTATTCCCACACTTCTGTAACAGCTAATCTAGCCTCCACACTTTTATCTTGTATAATCACTTTTTTTCTAGATAATAACCTAGAAGGCAGGGACCGCATCTTAATCTCTCGCTGTGCGCCTTGTACTTCAGGCACAAGCAACAGGTTTAATCAAGGCACAGTAAACACAATGCTGCCTTCGAATGCTATAGCATTATTTTTAGTTGCTGGGAGAGAGGACGTTCATTGAGCTCACAAGGACATTGTGTGCCTGTCCATGGCAGGCTATGCAGCTGGCTCTGGAATTCTGTGCTCTCCCTTATTAGGTTATTGTTAGGGAATTCAGTGACTAATGAGGACACAATGGCACAGCCAAGAAAGTCATTATCTAAAGGGACCACACTAGTCAAGTATCAACCTGGGTGGCACAGTGAGTCACTATAGCAAATGACATCAATCTGCAGTTGACTATGGGAACAGAACCCCGAGGTGCCGACATCTTTCAGGCTTCGAGTTCACATTTCTAACAGGGATTTAAGAGTCAAAAATCATCTGGGGTTTTGAAGTGTTTCAGAATTTTTCTTTTACTAATTTGGAAGTTTTTATTAATGGTCTTTTGGGACAAGCCAGTCTAACAGAGATCAGGTTTTATGCTGGAGCAACAGAACGAAATCTCGCGGGCGCCCCCTGGCGCCCCCTGCTGTCTCGAGCCCTGAATATTTGGTCAATAAAGAATACAGGGGTGCGAAAGCGCAGCGCAGAGTCTCCCGAGTTGCAGCCAGCTTGGGAAATATTCAAAATAAAGCAAATATAGGCACCGGCATTCTTTGAGGATGTATATTTACCTGGATCTTATTGACATATGAATATTCTAGTTTTTGTACACATTTGCTATAGAAAACCTTTAGAAATAATTCATGAGGTTTTCAGAATGTCGGATTTAGAGGGAAAACTATATTTCTCTGTATTAGTAGGAGTTTAGCTGTTCAAATTTGCACCTTCTGTGCAGACACTTGGGAAATGCCATGGGGTGGGTCCAGCCTTCCTCCAGGGGTGGGGCTGGGAGGAATCATCTTTGCCTGGACATCTTGTCCTCTTGTTCTGGAGACTTGGGAACTGCTAGAGAGCTAGTGGTTTTGATGTTTGGAATGGCCGGGTTTCTTTCCATATTCTGACAATTGATGACTTGCTCTTTCTCACCTGGTTAGTTGCTGAGCAAGAACTGGCAGACCTGGAGAGGTGGAAGCAGCAGAACCGGGCCAAACCGATCCACTTGGTGCCACAGCGGCTGGGTGAGTGGCAAACGGAAACCAGAGCCGGTAGGCAGGGTCACTCGCCTCGATTGAGACCTGCCATGTCTGCCTTCCTTCATACGCGAAGGCTGGTTCTGTGGGTGTACTGCTGGAGATGGGATCGCTCCGACAAGAAACATTGAAGGGTGCAGGTAGATTGTTGTTTCTGGTATTCTGCAAGGAGCCAATGCACCTGCCACAGTTGTGTGGGAATAAAGTGATGGCTTAATTGGCAAATAATTTAGAGCCTCTTAGATGATCAGCTCTGAAGAAAGCTTACCTGGGGCGCTGCAGATGCCCTGTCACAGCATCGTCAGGCTGCGAGGAGAAGCCATCACAGCATATTCATCACGGCAGTTAGATGCTAATGTGGCGAACATGAAGGGAGAGTCAACTCGGAAAGCAAAGTGAGAGGGAGCTGGGGACCCAGCTGTGGGTGTAAAGATAGATGTCACTCGGGTTTACATGCTAGGGCTGGGGACATTTGAGTTGGCAGAGCCGGTGTTGCTGGCGTGATGGGCTGTCTAGGCCCCCTGTGTGGGGTTTGGGATCTTTAGAAGGAATGTCCCCCAATGGGAGTCATTTGCTTCCTGTCTTGACTTCTCTTCATGGCCAAAGCTTGGCACATAAAGGTTTAGCACAGTTCCAGTTCATACAAAGATACTGCCACAATAGCCCGAGAGATATAAGAAAAATATAAAGCTAATTTGGAAATCTCTTAATCAGTGGAAGTAATAGAGCTATAGCTGTCACTCCATATATTTGCCTTTAGCAGAATAAGCCAGACTTGAGGAACCCAGTGTAGATGTAACCATCTTATTAAGTAAGAAACACAGAGCCAAATACAGAGTTAAAAGCCAAGAGGTCAGAGCAATAGCTAAGAGCTGAGACTAAAAACCTTACCCTTCACTGCCGCTGCTGTCCTTCCTCTCCGCAAGAGACCTACTTCCTGTGTGTTTGTCCTTTTTATTGACTTTCTGTTCTGCCTTCTCATTGGTTGTAAACCCAACCACATGACCTCCTCGTCACTGCCTGTCTATACAGACCTCCAGGTCTTCTATGGTTGGTATTGAGATTAAAGGTGTGTGTCTCCATGCTGGTGGTATCCTTGAACACACAGAGATCTGCCTGTCATGTGATCGGGATTAAAGGCATGTGCTACCACTGCCAGATTTCTGCTATGGCTTGCTATTATTAGCTCTGACCCCCAGGCAACTTTACTTATTAACATACAAATAAAATCACATTTCAGTACAAATAAAATATCACCATAACCCAATCCAAATGTGTCCTTCTTGACAGGCCCTCTCAAGCGGTCTTTCCCATGATTTTGAGGTGAAGTAATTAATTACTGTTTGGTTTTTTTTTTTCTTTGTCCTTTGAGACCGTCTTGTTCCAGCAAGTAGTCCTCAGTGCTAGGCATGGGCCAGACTTGGTCACCTCCAGGATGACTTTAGATGTGTACTCTTTCATGAGATCCACACTAACAGTGAAGACAGCACTGTTGCGTCCTTCCTCCTCCAACTCAGGAAGACAGGCCATCCGAGGCAGCCACTTCCTTTCCCGAGACTGGCTTTCACAGTCCAGGCTAGTCTTTAGGCCATGGACGTCTTGCCTCTCTCTCCCTAGTGTTGAGATTGCAGACTTGCAACTCTGCCCACTGTCAGCCAGATCATCTTGAGGACCTATCCGACCATGGCCGTGTGCTTTAAGGCTTGGATTCTCAGCATCTCCTTTCCTCCCGGGGGTTCATGTTGAGGGTGGTTTTCATTAAACCCCTCCATCATCTTGGCATGAAACCTTTCTTTCCCAAACACCAACACAGAAGGAGGTGAAACTTAGGGAGACATCCTTCCTCAGCCCCCAACCTTCCTCATGCAAACTCTTTTATAGGCTGAAGGGAGTTTCTAGAGCAGACTCTTCAAACTGATTTTTAGTTCTTCCTCCTGAATCTTTCTCCGGGGCCTGGGGACCACCTTACTTTGGAATTTGGAGAGCCTGGCCCCTACTGTTTTGCAGCCTCCACAGAAAATGAGCAAGATCTCAGTGTCTGCCTGTCTGCTCTATGAAGTTGTGTAGATGTAACCAACCTTCTTATTAAATAAGAAACACAGAACCAATGCAAAGAAGAAAACCAAGAGGTCAGAGCTAAGAGCTAAAACCTTACCCTTCCTCCTGCGGTGGTCCTACCTCTCTGAACCAGAGCTACTTTCTGTGTTAAAGTCCTTATATAGAATTTCTGTTCTGCCTTCTCATTGGTTGTAAACCCAACCACATGACCGCCTCGTCACGGCCTGTCTGTATAGACCTCCAGGTTTTCCATGATTGGTATTGAGATTAAAGGCATGTATATCCAATAATGGCTGTATCCCTGAACACACAGAGACTTACCTAGCTCTGCCTACCAAGTGCTGGGATTACAAGCGTACGCCACCACTGCCCTGGTTTCCTATGGCTTGCTAATAGCTCTGACCCCAGGCAACTTTATTTATAACAAAGTTGTCTTTGTTAGGGTTTCTATGGCTGCAACGAAACACCCTGACCAAAAAGCAAGTTGGGGAGGAAAGGGTTTATTCGGTTTACATTTCTATGTTGCTGTTCATCACCAAAGGCAGGCAGGACAGGAACTCAAGCAGGGCAGGAACCTGGAGGCAGGAGCTGATGCAGAGGCCGTGGAAGGGTGCTGCTTACTGGCTTGCTTCCCCTGGCTTGCTCAACCGGCTTTCTTTTTGTTTGTTTTGTTGTTTTGAGACAGGGCTTTTCTGTGTAACAGTCATGGCTGTCCTGGAACTTGCCTTGTAGACTAAGCTGGCCTCGAACACACAGAAATCTGCCTGCCTCTGCCTCCCAAGTGTTGGGATTAAGGTGTGAGACACCACCACCTGGCTTCAGCCTGCTTTCTTGTGGGACCCAGGACCACTAGCCCAGGGATGGCACCACCCACAATGGGTTGGCCCCTCCACATTGATCACTAGTTGAGAAGATGCCTTACGGCTGGATCTCATGGAGGCATTTCCTCAACTAAGACTTCTCTCTGATGACTCTAGCTTGTGTCAAGTTGACACACAAAACAGGCTAGTATAGAAGTATCCAGAAATAGTCAGGTATGTGTCTTTGTTGGGGGATAGGTGGCTTTTAAAAAGCAAATTGTAAAATGTATTAGCCCTTAAAATGAGTTTTGGAAAAATGTTTTAAAAATATTTAGACATTTGGCTTCCTCCATTTTTTTTGACTCAATTTATCACATGTGTCTCTATCACTTAAAATTTTGGAATGATTGTAGGAGCTACAGGGAATGGTGTGACAATAGCTATAAAGCTTTATTATTCCCAATTCTTTCCCAGCTTCCCTCAACAGTAACAGAAGAGGCCAACCAAACTGGCCTCACGTAGCTCAGAAGAAAACTACCTTCAGTGTCTTTATCAGATCAATTACCAAAACCTCTGTAAATGCAAATTGTTTTCATATAACTTCTGTGACAGTGACTCCTAAAAAAGCTGACACTTTTAGTAACCAAAGCACCAGAGAATTATTGCAAAGAAGTCTTTCTTTTTAAAAAGAAAATTTATTTTTATTTTATGTGTGTGGGTGCTTTGCTTGCACGTATGATTGTGCACCATCACGTGCAAGCAGCGCCTGTGGATGCCAGAAGCGGTGGTCAGATCTCCTGGCATTGGAGTTACAGACAGTTGTTAGCTGTGATGTGGGTGCTCGGAACAGAGCCCACATCCTCTGTAGGAAGAGCCCGTGCTCTCTAGCCCATGAAAGGAGTCCTTTTAACGTAAATACTAAGCTTGGATAAACACTGAGAAATCACTAAGTGACAGCTCTTAGGCTGATTGTCAAGCTGTGAGGCTTTCTGGCCCCAGATAATTCTGGTCTAAGAGTAGGAGCAAATAAATCATTGTAAATCATTGTAATTCCTCGTTTTTGTCTTGAATACCAAAAAAAAAAAAAAAAAAAAGGCTGTAAATGGCATGATGGACTAACAATTACTAGCTAGGATATTTAAAAGACTAGAATAAATGATTTCAGAATACTCAGCCTAAAAGGAATATATGCTGCACTCCTCTCAAGGCTCAGGGATCATTGCAGAGGAAGAGGCAGAAAGAGTATAAGAACTCAAGTCTGTGCATAACTACAAGGAAACATTACTTTCTGTACACGGCAGCGAAGCTGCACATATAAACTCAAAGTGGTCAGGACAGTATGTACAAAACCTGTGTAAGCCCAAGCCAGACTATACCAGGCTTTTTCTTTTGGGCCACCAACCAGCTCCCAAATCATGATAAAGAGACTTACTATTAGTTATGAACGCCCAGCCTTACCTTAGCTCTTATTTTAATCTGTTTCTCTTTATTTATGTTTTGCCCTGGGCCTTTTAACCTTTCTTTCTTTCTTTCTTTCTTTCTTTCTGTATATCCTACTTTCTTGTTCCTTGTGTCTGTCTGGCTGGTGGCCACCTGGCTTCTGGTCCCTGGCCCCTGGCATGTCTCTCTCTTTCTTCCCTGTTCTCTGTTCTCTATTTATTCTCTCTGCCCACCAGCCCCGCCTATCCCTCTCCTGCCTAGCTATTGGCCATTCAGCTTTTTATTAGACCAATCAGGTACCTTAGTCAAGCAAGGTGAAACAGCAACACATCTTTACATAATTAAATAAATGCAGCATAAACAAATGCAACACATCTTTACATCCATTAACAAAGTCAGCAGAAACAAATATAACACACCTTCACAGAGTTAAAGTAATATTCCACAGCATAAACAAATGTAACACATCTTTACATATTTAAAATAATACCACAAGACCAGACCAAATATCAGTATGGAGAAGGGAGTTGGACATACAATTCTACCCCTAACCATGGAGTCACTAGCAATTGTTGAGAGGTGTGTATGCAGGGTGTTCTCTAAGCATGTAGTCCTTAGTAAGTTGACTGTTCTGTAGTGGGAGACCACACACCCAAGAATATATGGGCAGCACAAATTAGTCTTGAAGAATTTAAATAGGATGCACAGTTGAGTGGGTAGGGAAGAGGGGTGGGTCTGGGAAGAGTTGGGGGAGGGGGAAATGAATATGATCAAAACAAATTGTATGAAACTCTCAAAGAACTAATAAAATATTGAGAAAAAATGAGTGGTTTATAAAGAGTACATCTGTGGTGTCAAGAATCCTGAGGGTTTGGGGGGGTTCCCTGCTTGAACATAGGGCAGCAGAGGTAGGGGAAGAAAAACCATTGAAGCCTTATTTGCCACTGTCTTTACTGGGTTAGGGAATGGTCAGACTGAAGCAGGAGGAATGTTCCATATTACTAAATGTCCATTGTGGCCCTTCAGATATGGTTTTAATCTAGGTGAATACTTTAGCGTTAATGATTGAAAACCCTAGTGTTATCATCCTTTGAAGAACAAGGTCTCATCTTTCCATCCATTATCTTTTGGTTTGTTTGTTTTGTTTTGTTTTTTTGTTTTTCAAGACAGGGTTTCTCTGTGTAGCTTTGCGTCTCTCCTGGAACTCGCTTTGGAGACCAGGCTGGCCTCGAATTCACAGAGATCCTCCTGCCTCTGCCTCCCTAGTGCTGGGGTCCATCCATTATCTTTTAAGTGATCACCACTCTGAGAACTTAGGCTGTGTTCTGATGTCGAGGGGTGTGAAAATGTTGAACTCACACTGCAGACTTACCATGCATTAATTAGTACTCAGCAGCCGGCATTTCAGCTTAACACTCCCGTTTCACCTTCACGGCTATTTGTTTATTATTTATCTTCCATAGGTGGAAGCCAGTCTGAATCTGAAGTCAGGCAGAAGCAGCAGCTCCAACAGATGCGATCTAAATACCAGCAAAAGGTCAGAATCCATTTCTTCTAGTTGAATTTCAGCAACAAATTTCAGTACCAACATTTCCACATAACCATGAAATAACACAGTGACCCAAAACATAAAACCTTCAAATCAATTGCAAAATATAATTCTCCAAATAAGAAATGCCAGGAAGTGAGAAGAAAAAGGGAACTGTCTAGAAGTCTTACCCAAGCCACATAGCCAAGCCTGTCTTTTGATTAGATAGTCTTTTAAATTAATTATGTATTAATTATAGCTTAAGATTACTGTTTTCATTCCCAGAATATGGTTTTGCTTATTTCAAGCTAGTGATAAAAGTAGCACAAAAATGATTTAAGATAACCAGTGATTTTTGCAATAAATATTATGATTTTTATAATTTGGAAAATTATCTGCTTTCTCCTCTTGTGTGTATGGATGGACACACACACACACACACACACACAGAGAAAGAGAGAGAGAGAGAAAGAGAGAGAGAGAGAGAGAGAGAGAGAGAGAGAGAGAGAGAGAGAGAGAGAGAGAAAGAAAGAAAGAAAGAAAGAGTGAGAATGAGAGCTAGATAGAGCAAGAAGCAAGAGAGAGAGCATGTACTGGAGGTATAGACAGACCGACAGACAGATAGACCCATGAAGAAACACTGAAATTCTCAGGCAGGAAATGCAGCCTGGCCATTCTCTGAGATCTAAGTGGCTTACAGTAACAGCCTATAATCATGGTGAGGTATAACACAAACAATACTGTAATTTGCCTTTCATCACAATTTTGTGTTCCGCAAGTTCAGACTGAAAAATGGTAACTGTTTTTTTGTCCTCTGTAATCTCAATACAATTTAGCTAAAGAGAGATGAATCTCTACGAATCAGGAAGGAAGCTGAGGAAGCTGAGCTCCAACAAATGAAGGCGGTCCAGAGGGAGAAGGTGAGCAGGTAGAGGGGGGTGGGCTGACGTTTGTTTGCTGAGGTCAGCTCTCTTCTAGACACTGTCCGCATTCTTCTCGTTTAACCCTCCCTGGAATCTGAGATGGTGGCTATTATCCAATTGTGCAAATGAAGAAACAGCAGAGAGAGGGAAGATGAGGTGCCCAGTGGCCCTCAGCTATAATGAAATAACTGGGTTTCATAGCCCAACACACTGGCCTCAGAGCTGGGTTTCTGGGTCACCACACCCACCTGCGCGCCTCTTAGCAGGGTGCTTGGCCAGAAGGCAAGGCAACAAGTGAGAAAGAAGTCAGTGGGCCACTGTCGTATTTGTATGCAAATACAGAGTTTTCTAGGGTGAGCTCGGTGAAGGTGAACACTGCCCTCTCACCACTGAGAGAAAGAGCATAGGCTGGTCTTTTAGGATCAGTGATGTCGGACTTTCTCAACCCGACAGCCATGCTTTTGTTTTGATATAACATCCAGGGCTTGGGGGAAATCTCTCACAAATGCTTATTTGCTAGAGAACAAGAAACAATACAGAGATGGTATAACCCCCTTCCCTTCCACAAAGGCCTACAAAGAAGTAAGGCTTAGTGTTGGGGCTTTGAGAGACGGGAGCTGACTCACGGTTCTGAGAAGTGTGTGTGTGATACCTGTTGCAGATGCCTCTTAGAAACACAGTTGTCACCTGCTTGTTTCTCTACCCCTCCCTCCCTCCCTCCCTCTCTCCCTCCCACCTCTCTTCCCTTCCTCCCTCTCTCCCCTCCCTCCCCCTCTCCCTTCCTTCCCCCTCTCCCCCTCTCTCCCCTCCCTCCTTCTCTCCCTCTCTCCCTTCCCTCCCCCTCTCCCCTTCTCTCCTTTTTTCTCATCTCTCTCTTTCTCCCTTTCTATTTTCTTTTTCCTTCTTTCTCTCCCCTTCCCTCCCCTCATTTTAAGCAATAGACTTACTCATTTTATTTATTTATTTGTTTTGAGACAAAGTCTCACTATGTAGCCTTTCCTAGCCTAGAACACACAGAAACACATACCCGCCTCTGCCTCTTGAGTGCTAAAATTAAAGGCACGCACCACCACACCTAGCTATAATAGATGTTTTTAGCAGCTAAAGTTAAGGAAGCCAAAAGCTAATGGCTTATGGAACACTGGGCAGGAATGCGGGTTTTCTCCGCCTTGTAGGAATTCTCTTTTTGCCTGGGAACAGTCTAATCATTCTTGGAAAGTCTGTCATTATTGTCTGACCTTGGGTAGGCTTCCAACTTTCTCAAAACTCTTCCTGTAAAATGATTCTACAAGTACCACCTCCAAAGCCCAAGAGCAACATGTTGCCATAGAGATGCAGGTGGCGGTGAGCCTGGACTTGCGCATACAAACTGTAATAAAATGCTGGATATTAAGGTATATAAAAAGCACAGGTAGTTTACTTATAAATTTTGATCCACCGATCCACTACCAGTTGGTTATTACACAAAAGATCTCGACTGGTTCTCTCTTTTACCACACTTCTGTTCTTCATTGCTTTCTCTTCCTCTCTCCCACTTGAAAAGCTGGAGCTTTGGTCTGTGGTTGTAGGGATGGAGCACATCTTACAGTCTGCCTGCACATTCAAGTGGGACCAAGGAAAACACCACCAGGAACCGGATTTAAGGCTAATAGAACCTGAAGAATTTTTGTTGTGGTGGTAGTTGCAGACTCTCATCTAAGTCATGTTTGGTGTCATTTGGTCCCTGTAATTGGCTGGCTTGTGGGTTGCTTATAGTTCATTTTTTCAGGGCTCGATAACACACGTTCTCAATGTGTGGGTGAAACTCTGATTCTGCTTTCCAAGTCACACCACCACTGTAGAGCCACAGCAGTCTTTAGACACTGAAACATTAATTGGATTAACCTTTTTAAGTTGATAATTTTGATATAAATTTGAAAGTGATGGAGAGGGAATCAGCTCTCGAGTCTTTCTCATGAGAAGGGGAATGAGAAGAATGGGCATTACCTGGATTTGCTAATGTGCACGCTCTTGAACCCACCTTGGATGCATACTGCAAACTGCTTCTTGCCATGCTTCCTGAGTTGATTCCTATGCAGATGAAATTTTGTGGAGTATTAATTTAAGTGAGTCTTGATTTATCTGGCTGATGGGCTTTCACTGTCACCAGTTGAATATGGTGAAATATTTCTGTTGAGTATAAATCTGTGACTGTTCATGGCTCTGTATGCTGGTTTAGTAGCTTGTGTCAGACAGAAGAGTGGATATTAGCTTTCCAGAAGTGACATATTCCACATTGCCAGTGTGATAATGGCTGGGAGAAGTGATAATGACTATGCTTATGGAGCACTTAGTCTTTAAAATGCACAGCAAATGCGTGCACGGACACCAGCCCGTACAACTCTGCCCTCCTCCCCTGGCAGGTGGATAGTGGCCAGGAAGTCTGAGCCAAGGCAGAGCCAAGTAGCTACTGCCACCTAGGAGTCTGGCCAACCCCCAAGATACCTGCAAGGTATCTTTCTTATTGTAACCTGTTAGTACATCAGTGGATCGATGTATGTGTTTAAGGAGAGTTCTCATGGGCCAGTCACTTCTTCAAAGTCCCAACAGTGACCTCTGCTTGCCATGGGGATCAGGTTTTTCATATATCAGCCTTTGAAGGGCAACTTCATATCTAAACTACAGTAATAGGTTTTCATAGGTCACTACAATAATCTTTTCAGCTAAATTGAATGTTCTGAGAATAAATGTCCATCCTACCCTGTTTGTAGTCATATTGATGAAATACTCATTTGATTTTTTCCATACTTTCAAAATATTCACAAACCTGAAAAATGAAAACCTTCCACCTCCGTGTTAAAGACCTTCCCTACCCCTTGAATTCATCTTACTTTACTATCTGTTTAGTTTGAAATAGTATCCAATGTTATGTCTTTTCCAGATCTTTCCATCTAATTATCCCAATTTCCCTGTATCAACATAACTTTGGAAAGTGTTAAAAACAGCTAAAGATTTGAGTGGCATCTAAAGCCTTTTCTTGATCCTCAAGCTGTGGCTACCAAAGTCACTTGCAGCAAGGAAAGTCGTTGCTTTTTTATAGACCCCAAGAAGCATAGGTAATTTGAATGCTGTTCAATGCTGTAGGAACAAACCAGTAGAATATAAATTATGCATATTAGATGTAAATTTATTCCTATACTTATTTTTAGGGCATCATACTTGTTGCTTCCTAGTTCTGTAAGGCAAGTAGTAGCATAGCAAGGACTGATGGCTTTAAGGACAAAAATCAAACTCATGAAATGGCTTGAATGTTGTTTGAACTGGGAATTATTTCCAATTCTGTACACTCTCAAGCCACACAGGTTTCTGAGAAATATGGTTCTTAACACTCTGCACTTCTTTGGGGTGGCATTGGAACAGGCGTTATGTCTTTGGGTGTTGAAATGCTTTCATTAATGAATCCCATCATGTTGGAATGAGAATGGTATCTCTGGAACACAGGCATTAAGAGTATGAGCTGTTAGCTTCCCTGGGGCCCATTTGCCTTAATTATAAAATGGGTACAATAACAAGGGCAGGAGAGCTGAAGGGTAAATGTACAAAGTCTTAAGCACAGTGCCTAGCTCTTAGCTCTTATTTATTTACTTTTGGTTTCACTTTGCTGCCCTAACTGACCTGGAATTCACTCTATTGACCACGCTGCCTCTGCCTTCCAAGTGCCAGGATTAAAGGCAGACACCACCATGCCCAGCCCTAGCTCTTAGCCTGTGGTAAAGGTGCCCTACCCTAATTGTAAGTATGAAGAAAGGCTTTATAGTCTTTCATTTCATTTGATTTTAGTCTGTCAACTTCTTGCAAGGAAGGCAAAGAAAGGTTTACTGTTACTTATCACAGATTAAATAGGGTCAGTGATTTCACGTCTGTGAAGCCCACATCAGTGAAATTGGTGGAGGGAAAACACACTTGGCACTCTTGGCCATGTCTAATTTCCAGGCTTCCAGTTCAGCTAAAATTTTAACATCAACCAATATCCAGTAGTTTTCCTTTGTGTGCTTGGCCCTAATCACCAAGGCCTTTGCTCTCTTTCTTTTCCTTTCTTTCCTTTTCAGAATAGGATGTCCTCGACTATTTCATCGAAATAAAGACCATTAGGCTGTGACTATCCTTATTTTTCTATTATTTTACTCGTTGTTACTTTTCTACTTTCCCCCTTCCTCCCTCCTCCTCTCCCCCTCCCTTCCTCTCCCTCCTTCCTTATTTCCTTCTGTTCTTTGACAGTTTTACATATAGCCCAAACTAGCTTCGAACTGCTGACTTCGCTGCCTCAGCCTCTTGGTTGCTCGACTATAGGCCTGCATCACGATGTCTACCTCTTTGCTGCTTCCTTCTCCAAACCATCTGAAGAGGAATAAGGTGTCTCTTCTTGATACTATGCTGGAATCTTCCATCTGCATTCACTATCTCCTCTCTCTCATTCCTTCAGGGACCTTGAGTTTTCATTGGTTAAACCCCGGCCCCCCACCCTGCTGGTTTTTTTCTCTTTTGTATTTTTTTGTTTCTTTGGTCAGTATAGACTTTTTACTTAATTTTCTCATCTCAACAAATCACATTGCTGTACTCTTACCTACTTTCAACTCCTCTACCCCAAGCATCATGGTCAGCTTCTTGAAAGCCTTCTCTTTAGCCTTTGATTTGAAATGTGAGTCCATGGACTAATTTTAATACTCACTTGAACAAGACAGAGTTTTTTGCTTTAAAAAGCACTGATGCTGTGCCTATCAGATCAAGAAAATGAACCCTCTGGATCTTTTCTTTATTTGTTTCTTTGTGAGTAAAGCTTGGCTTCTGTCTCTAGTACTTGTCTGGTACAGGTATAGACATGACAAGCAACGATATTCTCAATAGAAATATGTATATATATATATATATGAATATATAAGTATATGACTTTAGTTAAAAATGCCATGTGTTTTGATGACATCATAAGACCTAGAGTGTCAAAGTCTCCCTTGTAACTGAATTTGTAAGAGTACAGAATGGTCTGGGGGAAACAATTGGTCATTTTTGTCCAAGCTTCAAGAGACTTTCAAAGGAATTTTCTTTTCCAATATGAAAGAAAGGGAGAGCATTATGGCCAACTATTCAAATTACAAAAACTGTAAAATCATATAGTATTTTTCAACTGCATTGAGTGCACACACATACAACAGGTCCTTATAACCCAGTGAACAAGATATGTAAGAAGCAGTGGCAAGAAATTACATATTAGATAAGCATACTGTCAACCTTGTTCCTTAAATGATTTTAAAATTTGAATAGTTTAATAATTTCTCCAAGGACAGCATGGTGGTGCATGCCTGTAATCCCAGTTCTTGGGAGTAAAGTGCAGAAGACCAGGAAGTTTGAAGCCAACTCAGGCAGCAGGAGACCAGGGCCCAAAAGAAAAATAACAGTGTTTCCTTATGGATGTATTTTAAATTAGACAGCATCTCCCTGTTAAACATCAAGTTTAGTGCTACTGTAAATCACAGCTGTATAATGTATAATGTATGGATTTAAAAACATCTCTCCTAAGTGCTCAGGGACACAACCTCTAGATCCCACACACTTCTGAAAAGCCAAAGTGCTCCTCTCAGAAGGTTGATGGCAGCTATCACTTGGAGGCGGAGGCACCCTAACCTCTCCAAAGCAAGGAGGCGAGGAGAGGAGTGCAAGTGAGCTGGGAACAGAGGGCAGCCGAGAGTGTAAGGGCTGCAAGAAAGGCGGAGTTAAAATACAGCTGAGGGATGGAGATCAGGATGAAGTCTGTGATTTCAGGGCTGTTTCTAAGCCTACAAATTTTATGCTTTAGCATATAATACCTGTGATAAGCCCTCTTGTGTCATCTTTTACTCACCTAAATTACTACCCAGTTTCTATGTATTTGCTTTTATACATTTGATGACATCCACAGTTCTTGCAAGTGGAATGTTTTGTGGGGCACGGGATTCTATAGAAAGTGAAAACAAAAAGTTGAAACCTCAAAACAGCAACAAACCAAATCAAATCAACAAATGAAAACTAAATCTCCAAACCTCCATACTTCAAATGTCTGTGGATCTCCTTCTGAAGCTGTGATTATTGCTTCACTTGTGAGCATGTCTCTTGGCATATTTAACATAATTTCTTCATTTCTCTCTTGTCTATATCTTTTACAGGACAGGTACTTCTCTGTTCATATAATAAATATAATAAGTATAATATATCGTATCATGAGATATTTGTATAAAAGGGCATTGGATAAATGTTTGTTGAATACACATGATTCCGTGATATTATTCAGGTCTCTTAGCCAGTGGTAGTGTCCTGGCTGTTTTCTTTTGCATTTTTATTTGGGTGAGCTGACTAAATCTAAGTATTTGGACTGATATAGAAATCTGTTCCTACGTTGGTAGACATTGGATTCAAATCCTCAAACATTCCTCCGTTTTATAAAATACTGTTCATTGCTTTTTTGCTGAGGGATTGATTAATAGACCTTCCCCGGGTAAACTGGGCTAATGTGTGTCGTTATGAGTCAGAATCTATCAGGGAAGAGAGTAAAGTCAGTTTTCTCAATTACTGACCTCCATGAAGGCTTTTGTTTCTAGATGCTGGTGTGACTTTCTCCGCGTTCTCTAAGGAGATTCCTGACCTTGGTCTAATCAATACATCCTGTTTACATTCTGCTTGCTTGCAGACCTCCATCCATTGGTGCCTCCACCTCAGGGATGTGGAGAGATCATCCCAATCCAGCCTGTTTGGGCTCACTAGTCAGGACTTTATCTAGACATATTACCTATTTGGGGTTAAATTCTTCTTTCATTTCCTTCCTGGGATTCTGTTTCATTAACGGTCGGTTTGCTGCTGCATAACTGCTTCCTGGATTCTAGAGTACTTACTATAGGTTTTGTTTCCTTTTTCTTTTTTTTTTAAACATGGAAAACATCTATTTTGCCTGTCAAAATGGGAAAGCTCAGTGTACGTTAAGACTTTTATGAAATGAATATGAATAGCTCCCCATCTTTGAGTGATGGAGCCGGATCCGAATCAGAGTTTAAAAGCGATGATTCCTCTTACTCTCTTTCATAGCTCTTCCTTTGGGAAAATCCATTTTGTTGTTGTTGTTGTTGTTGATTTAAACCCAGCTGCTTTCTGGCTTTCTTTTGGACTTGTTGAAAACTTCTTTTCTCCTGTGTTGTAGAACGTGTTTCCACTCCTTATTAAATTTAATCTTTGTCTTGAGAATGTTATCTATTTTTCTTTGGCACGTTAAAAAATGACGATAGTGTCAGGGTGAGCAAAAAGCAAGTGGGTTTGGTTATTTAAATCAGGTTCAAATATGCCACAGCCATGGTGACAGCAATATCAATATGAAGTCATATGTCTGAAGGCGCTCTAGACAACTAATTAAAAAACAGAACTCTTGCTACGCAAGTGGATGGCTTTTTTCAGACATAGGCTACTCAGTTTCTTGCTCTACTTAGCTTTAAGTCTCTAAATCAGAAGGGAGGTGGATTGGGTTATTGAAAATCTTTTCCCGAATATTTTGGTAGAATGTGTAATACACACACACACACACACACACACACACACACACACACACACACACACTTTGAATGAACTATTTAATTGTGCATTATTATTTTTAATTTAACATGTTTGGTGGGGAATTTCTTGTTTCCATCAGAATATTTCATAAACTCCTTAAAAATGGATGTTGCTATCATTTGAACTGAAATAAGAATGTGAAATTTTGATTCTGCAGTTTATCCAGTCAGGTTGGGAGTGGGGGAGCTTTGGGAGCATCTTGGGGCCTCCATCATAGTGCTTGCGGGTTATGAGAGGGGAGACTATCTTGGGATCTGTGGGGCCACGGCAACTCAGGGATTTGGGGTTTGAGATAACTTAAACATCGTGATTCTTCCTAAATCTTCCATAACAGATCACATTTTGATATTTTAAATTTCAGAGTAACAAACTAGAGGAGAAAAGGCAACTTCAGGAAAGCCTCAGAAGAGACGCCTTCCGAGAGCATCACCAACAGTAAGTTCATGCTCTCGGAACTTTGTTTCTTTATAGGTTTCTTGTTCAGATTCCCAGCTCTGGAAAAGGATGACTTTTCAGACATGGGGGGTTATATTGTGGGCACTGTATTAATCATAGAATTAGAGATTGGGACACTCATTCTCATCAAAGCATTCTCTAGCAGTCAAATGATGAGCAGTGTTCCGACTGAATTTGAGGAATTTGTCCGTGTAAATAAGTTAGATTCCAGGGTACTTCTGATTATACTGATCTCCAGGGCATTGTGTAAGGAGGGTGGTGTTTGAGGTGAAATATCTGAAATATCCAAGTGAGGTCTAAACTAAGTGGTATTATCTTGTATGCTGATGTGCTGAGGGCTGTTTTACTTTTTTTTTTTCCTTTTGATTTCTCCAGACAGGGTTTCTCTGCATATACCTGGCTGCCCTGGATATCACTCTAGACCAGGCTGGCCTCAGACTCCCAAGTGCTGGGATTAATGGCATGTGCCACCGCACCCAACTCTGTTGTATTTTTTCTTGCCAAGAGTTGAGATATCATTTATTAATTATTTTGACACTCCAAATCGATGGTTATAAACCAAGGTAATTTCTCTAGTGTGATTCCTGAATAATATTATTTAGCATGCTAATACTACACTTTGATAATGCAGAAAATCTGTTATAGCCTTTAAAGAAACCACAGCTGCATGAATAGAAAAGGAGGGGAAACCACCCTGGTGCATTTCTCCTTACCAAGTTAAGGTCAGAGCTGGGGAAGTTGAAGGAGTCTGCCTTCAGCCAGTTGAGACAGGGCAAGACAGGAGAAATTCTTGGAGTTTCCAAAGGTTGGAGGCTGTTCTACACAGCCTCCTGTCTTTTCAAAGTCCCCTAGCGCCTTGAGTTTGTGTTTTACTAAATGCTAAAGATCAGTCACCCTTTAATGTAAAGAAGAAAAGGAGGCCTTGCTCCCAGCCACCGCACACACGATCGGTGGAGCTGAATTCAATTACATGCACATTTCACTCCTGCTCTTTCTCCTGCTTATCATGAAAGTCCGGGTTAGCCAGGAAAAAAGGAAACTTGGCTAGAAAAACGAGAAGTATCTCAAATTGATTTTTAAAGCCTATTGAGAAACACAAGAAGTATAGATGTGTCAGGTTTTTTTCTTTTAAGAACATTGTGCTCAGAATTACTTTTTAAATTAAGGAGACCAATAGCTGAAGAATCGAATGACCATTATATAGCTGGAAATGTGAGAGGAACTTCTCAGAAAAGGTGGATCCTCTATAGAAAGGTCTTTATCACTTTTTCTTAGAACCAGTTTATAGTGGGAGAAAACGTCTAGCAAAGCCGTTAGAATCCCAGCAGTGCAAAGATTTCACCAAACCGCTCCCGGACCCTCTGCCTCCCAGGCCCGAATGAGATTCTCTTGAAGCTGTCAGGTGAAGGAACACAAAACAGAAACCAAATAAGCAGTTCTTCCAAACGAGTCGATACCTTGCCAGTTTCAGCGTGCTGTGCTGGGTGGTGCCAACGGCAGACAGACCAGGAACAATGTGTTTTTGCTGTTGATAAGGGCAGCCGTGGACTTGAGCGGACTGTAAATCCAGCTGCTGGAGGATTGGAGAAAAGGTGCACCACGGTCACCCTAGGTACCCCAGAGCATCGTAGCGTGCTCTTTCTTCACACCTTGTTCCTGACTCTGTTCATTTGCTTCTGATTATTTTTAGTGTTGTCAATTATTTAGCTAACAGGCAGAAAACTAGGCTTTTATTGACAACCAAAGGCACTCTCCTGAGTATAATAATGAAGGCAGTTTATTGAATGCCTGTGAGGTTGCTTTCTAATTGTACGCATTAATCTGCCCATGCAAGCTGGCTGAAAATACACAAGCAGATTGCACATGCAGATGGAGCACACAGGATGGTTTTTATGAAAAGACCTCCACAATGCACTTCTGGAGCACAGTCTTTTCCTTAAAAATCGAATGGCTGTGACTATTGCCATTGGCGGCTGAGAGCAGACCCGATTAATGACGCATTAAGTTTGCCACTCTGGCTGGGGACGGTCTCCAATTTCACAACTCAGAATGAGTTCTAGGATTCTCCGACCTGAAAGCAGAGAGCAGAGATGGGCCTTTAACCTTGGCATAATTTTCACCATGACTTTTAGTCTCTATTTACTGCCTATAAAAATTCAAATGTGCTTTTTTTGGGTGTGTGTGTGGGGGGGGGTACTTTCCTATTAGCTGATAGTACAGAAGGATGCCCAGCTCTGAAATGACAGGGAAGGAGCCTCCATTTTTAATATCAAAGAGAGACTGTTATTATTTAGAACATTGAGTAAAATAAATGTCAATATTTTAATTTTTTCAGATTTCCTTTCCTTTCTCTTTTAAAAAAGTATTTTATTCATTTTTTGAGAATTTCACATAATGTATTTTGATCATATTCAACCCAACTTTTCCCCTTAACTCCGCCCATCTTGCTACCCACTCCCCAACTTTGTGTCCCCTTTTTCCTAGTCCGATAATCCCCTGACTCCAGTATATTTTAAATTTTAATGGTAATTTATCTTAGGAGTGTTGTCATTCTTATAATTATGTCTTTTTATCTTTTTAACTGTGTGGTTTTTGGATGAATTTTGGTATGGATTGAGGTGTGGTCTTTTTTGGTATTTTGTGGTTTGGTTTTTGAGACAGGGTCTCACCATGTAGCCCTGGCTGTCCTGGAACTTGCTGAGCAGATTAGGCTGGCCTTGAACTCACCAAGAGCCGCCTGCCTCTGGCCTCCCTGAGTGCTGGGATTGAAGGTGCGTGCCACCACACCTAGCTTGGTTTTGAGCCTCTTGAGGAATGAGTGAAGGTCAGATAGGGCCAGGCAATTTGCATTCTGGTAGTAGGAAAAACAGTATTCTTTGAAGATTTTTCTGGGCGCATATGAACTGGCATGTTTTAGATGCTTAAAATTATAATTCATCCCTAGTGATTATTTACTGTAAGATGACGTGTTTATGTCACCTACGAAGTGCGAGGTGCTGGGCTCTTTCAGATTGAAGCAAGATGCTGCTATGTACTTGAGAAATGGGACGTCAGACTCTGTGATAGATTCCGAGTCTTGAAAAACAAGTTTAATCTTTGGGTTAAATTTACTAGAGCTACATCATCCCCCCCCCTCCCAACCCGCCCGCTTTACAGATACAGTCTTGGGTAGCTGAAATTTTCCAAAGTGACAGAGACAGTAAGTAATTCAGCCAAATTTAGGCCCCAAATTTTGGGAGATTTTGAAAAATGGATAATCTGAGGGCACAGGGCACCTCGAGGGTCAGGAGTAGCAGGGTTGGTGGTGTGACGTGGCAGCATGGGTTCTTGCGGCGAGACTGCTGGAGAGGGCAGAGCAGCTCTTTTCACCGAGGTCTACATTTGGTCTAGGGTGGGCAAAAGAAAGGCTGGAAAAAAACTAGTGTTCTCTCCAGTCATCAAATACAAGCAACACCCCCACTCCCCGGGTCCAACCCTGATTAATCCTGTGGCTGATCTCAGGTTAGAGGGGATGAGTGTCGTGATCTATCTGTGGTGTGCTCTTCTCTCAAGGTACAGTCTCCAGAACTGTTTAACAGGACCGAGAGGTTCAATTATTTAAAGTTTATTCATTTACTAGTGTATATGGTGTGTGTGTGTGTGTGTGTGTGTGCGCGCGCGCGCGCGCGCGCGTGCGCGCACATGCGTGTGCGCACATGCGTGTGCATGTCCAGTGTACATGTGGAGGTCAGAGAACAACTTTCAGATGTAAGCTTTCTCCTTCTACTCTGGGATTCTGGGATCCAGCTCGGGTTATCAGGTTTGTGAGGCAAAGCACTTTCTTTGGCCGCTCCGCCATTTTGCCAGCACAAGGACCTCAGTTCTTAAAACTGTGGTTGGAAAACCTTTTGGAACCAAGCCCATTTCCCAAAAGGACCTTACTCCTAAACTGCATGCGCCTCCCCCAGCTCTGCCCCGTGACTGTAATATCAGGAAGTTTTACTCATCCCACCATCGGACCCATGTATCTCTTTTATTTCCACTCAAATAGTTATGTGTGCTAAGTTCCTCAGAGGCACATCTGCATCTCTTTCAGCTTCCCAGAGCTGTGAAGCCAGACAGGTCTGCTGAATGCGCATACTTTGGCCCCAGGTTTACCTTCTAATCTGCTCGCAAAACTTCTAATGCCCTTCATGGGAACTTCTGAAAGACACTTAAGGGCTACGGTGTTCCCTTGTCCATGTGGTAGGCTTTGATCCAACCCTTGAGTTTTATAATTTAGGTAAGGTGACTGGAAAGTCATCCTGTTCCTAACTTTCTAGCATATGCTAATGAAGTGAACTCAGAGATATAAAATCCCTGTGTCTATTTTGTTTAGAATGAAAGTGAACAGCTTACGAATGATCCGATCTGAGGGAAGTCCTTACTGATGCGTGTTAAGGCATGCTGTTGAGGGGAAGGGCACATCAGATTTCTACCCTGTAGCTAGCAGGGCCTCTGTCACCCACGTCCTTTGGCTCTCTCATGTTGGCACTTATCACATGCCTGTTTCTTCTGTGTTCCCTGGTGACCCAAGAGACTCCTGCAACATCTTTACCAACCATCTCTTCTCTTGATTTTCTCAAATTCTGTCACACTTAGTTTTTCAATTTGTAAATTACATTGCTTTATTATTGTGTTTATGTGTATTGTGTAGGCACACACGTGTGGAGAAGCCAGAGAGAGTTGGTCCTCTCCACCATTTGTGTCCCAGGGATTAAGCTCAGGTGGTAAGACCTGGCACCCTTACCCGCTGAGCCATCTTACACCCCCCAATTTAGTTTTTAAAAAATGTAGTTTGGGTCACATTATGCCCTATTCCAAAAGATTTTATTTGTCATTCCTGTTGCCTAAAAATAAACTCTAGTCTCTATAGTTGAACTTTGGGGTACGATGAGGTGCCTTAGTAAGATATCAGACGGAACTTACAGGATTTGGGCCTATGCCAGGTGAAAGGTCTG